AGCTGAAGTAGCCTGCAGTGCTGCATTTAACCACTGCGCCACCTCGGCTCATGAGTGACAAACCAAATAAATAAATAAAATAAAAATAAAGACAATGGGGAAACCAGATTCACTTAACAACCTGGTTACTAACTTAAGAACTGCCACAATTCATTTAACAACTGTGGCAAGAAAGGGGCGAAACTCCCTTAACAACTGTCTCACTTAGCAACAGAAATGTTGGGCTAATTCAATTGTCATTGTAAGTCGAGAACTACCTGTATTGATATTCTTGTATGTGTGTATGTGAGAAGAGAAGGGGAAGAGAAGAGAAAGAGAAGAAGGAAGGGAAAGATGGGCAGGAGAAGGAAATGGAGATTAAAAAAAAGAAAATGAACATCAAGAGGAAGAAGTGAATGAAGAAGGAAAGTATGAAGACAAGGAGGAAAATGGGAAGGAGAATTAGAGATGGGAAAAGGGAAATGAAAGGCAAAGAGGACGAGATGGTGCAAGGAGAGAAGGAGAAATAAAGGAGAGATATGGGGGCAAAAGAAAGGAGAAAGAAAAGGAGAAATAGGGATGGAAAAAAGGAAATGAAAGAAAAAGTGGAAGAGGAAAAGATGGTAGAGGAAGAGAAGGAGAAAAAAGGAGAGTGATGAAGGAAAAAGAAGGAGGAGAAAGAAATAAAGAGAAGGACAGGGAGAAGAAAAAAGTAAATAAACAAGAGAAAGAGAATTAGGAGAGAAGAAGAAGGGGAAAACAAAGAGACAAGAATAGAAGGAAAACGAGGGGAATAAATAGAAGGAGATAGAGACGAAAATGAAAAAGGAGGAGAATGAACGGATCACATTAGTAATTCTATAAGGCTGAGCATTATAATCATCCCCATATGTTTAATCTGGTAGTTCGACTTTTACGGGTCACTTAAAATGAAATTCCAAGGGTGCCACAGAAGAAAAGAGGGTACAGAATTTTATAGAAGAGCTGGGGCCCTTATTGTCATTTGTGGTTGAAGTTCTGGCCTCACAATTATTTTTGTGGTACTTTCTTATCTTGCAAGTAAACAAAAAGGAAATCTGGGACAGATAATGTATATTCCCATCATTTCCACTTCAAACAAGTGAAAAGATGCTGATGACCACATAATTGGAGCTCTGCTTCTTTTTAATATATGTGGTGGTGGCAACACATACTTCAGGTCACTCCCCCTCCTCCCCTCCCCCTTCCCCCTCCTTGTTGTGGCCCGTGGCCAGCTGCTGGCAGCAGATTCGGACAGTGAGGAGGTTGGGGAGGAAGATGGGCCAGTCCTGGAGTCTGGGGAAGGCTCTGATGAGGGCTCTGTGTCGGAGGCAGAGAGGGGGCCAGGGCCCTCTGACAGTTATCAGTGAGGCAGAGGAACAGCTGGAGCCTGTTCCCAGTGTGCACATACACAGAGTTGCCAGATGAAGGGAACAGCTAAACAACAGGGATTGACTTGGGAGTAAGGCTATAGGTGGATGATGAATGGCCCCTCCCAGAGGGAATAAAAGAGGAGCCAAAGGGGAGTGGAGTTTGCAGGAGATCATTAATGCGTTTCATTGGTTCGTGACTCTCCAAGACTCCTTGCCAAGTTCTGCAGAGATCGGCCTGGCAGCTCTCCAAGCCAGATAAGGTCTGTGACTGTAAATCCTCCCTGGAAAGACTTTGCTGGATGCCAAGGAGCAGAATTCACAGTCAATTAATAAAAGGGGTTTTTTGTCAGGACAAGGAGTTTGTTTCATGCTCTTGGGAAGCCTCAGTCAGAAAACTCTTCCTCCTCTCCACAAACCCCCCCTCCTTTCTAGCACTCATGATGTTACCTAGTTGGGTCACGAAATGTCTGCATGAAAACCACCAAGTTCAGAGAGCACCAGGGACTCCGCAGTTCAACCTTGAGGTACAAATATTTTCTGGCATTGGTTAAGCATGGCTTAGCTTTTCAGTCCAGCTTATCCTCAAGCCAAGATAGAGACGGCTTCTGTCACTCCTGCTCTACTATAACTCTAATTAGTTCCATGGCAATCTTGCAGAAGCCTGAAGACTATTGTCCAAAATTTCCCCACCCTTCTCCTCAATCAAAGTAGTAGTTCTCTGTGGTACTTTGTGTACAAACCGGAGCAGACCGATCTCTTTGTTAGTTCATTCCAGGACAGAAGCATTACTTGGTCAGGGATCTCCCCAAAGGCCGCAGCATTCTTTCTGATGGCTAATGAGCCCATGCGCATTGAATTCAACCAAAGTACACATTACAGCTCCCATGGAATTTCTCCAGCCTTCCGATCCTTTGAGCAGGGCTTCCTTTCGGTCCTTAAACTCAAGAAATGCCTCTTGAGTCACTCAAAACGGTGAATCACTTGAAGGAACAAACCTTTCGCCAGCCACATCCCATTTAATAAAAGACAGATGTCACCAGGAGGGATCTCCAGATCTTAACACCCATCACCGGGGAACAGAGTAGAGAAATGTACAGCACTCATACAACCAATGATTAGAATTAGAATAACAGAGTTGGAAGGGACCTTGGAGGTCTTCTAGTCCAACCCCTTGCTGAGGCAAGAAACCCTACAACACTTCAGACAAATGGATATCCAACATCATCTTAAAAACTTCCAGTGCTGTAGCATTCACAACTTCTAGAGGCAAGTTGTTCCACTGATTAATTGCTCTAATTGTCAGGAAATTTCTCCTCAGTTCTAAGT